ATATTGGATGCCCTTTAGCAATCTTTGACTGTAACTAACCTCTTTAATTATGCTTCATAATCCCAGCAACAAGATTTTCAAATTTCAATATTAAGAACTTTCGATTTGATATCTCTCTAACATGAGAGCACGTGCAACTGACACTCGCCAGCCTGTCTGCTTACATGCAAGCTTGTTGGTTTTTTTAATGAAATTTGTGCCCGTACAGCATGTGATAGTGGTAGCACCCACTAGTTTCCGTAGTGAACGACTACAGTAATCGATATTTTTCTCAGGGTTATTATAACCAGACCCACTTATTTCGATAGCAGGTAGCTTCGATTATACTTTGATGCCACCTAGCGGATGCTGCTGAACTGAAGGGAAAAGCTAGCGTTTTTTCACAATTTTGAGCTCATTTTTTGCTATTGTTATAAATTTTTTCAAGGTAAAAGTTGTACAAAAACCATCTTGGAAGTGCCAAGAATTAGTATGCAAAATTTTAGCGAGATAGGTTGAGTAGTTTTTACGGTTAGCGATTACAACAGTTTTTGCGATTTGCTTCATAAATAAGAGTAAGTTAAAGCTCTGCGTACTCTTCAATTTATATTTAGATCAACAAAATATTTTATTAAACCTACATACACTTTTTAGAGATCTTTCTTATAGACTTCATACGTCAACGCACAGATTTGATCGATGCTTAGTACATGGGCGTCTTAAAGTCTTAAGACTCTAAGCCAAAGCTTGTTGCAGAAAATTTAAATCAAGAAAATGTTATGTATGAATGTTGGATGCAGGCGTAGAGCGCGTGCAGCCACACTGGTGCTGTGCTACCTTATCAAAAGTACCTAGCTGCAGATCTTAGTGCAAATCAAATTTTTTTCTTGAGTAACGAAGTCATACTGAATAGTTTTTATTTATAGTAATAAGTCAATAATTAGGGAAAATGAACCAGAATGTGATTGGGCTAACTTAAAAATTTTTTTTTGTCGTACGCTATGTATCAAATCATAAATATAATCTCATTATAAGATCTTAATAATGATTTTGCTTAAAAATACTTGTCATGATGTTTTTTAGTCTCTGTTGTGCAGAGATTGTGATAAATGTCTGGATCTCAGAACGAATTTGTGGCAACACAGTTGTCTCAGTGGATTTGACCCTTCTGACTATGTACTGGTATCAAATGAATCCAACCAAATGTTTCCAGGTAAACTGTCATGTTATTTACAGATCTGTCAGAATAACAATAGTATAATTAAAATTTCATTTATATCTCTTATTTTTAGTATGAAAAGGAAGTTTAACTAATGTTGATACTACAAACGCTCTATCTTCTAGCTGTAAATATAATGCTTCAGGCTCACTCATGGATGAAGATGTCATCGAAGAGTCATTGATTGTAGCTGTAAAAAACAGGCCTCAACTGTGGAATTCCAAGGTTCCTTACAAAGAGCGTACAGTATTAAAAAAAATCTCTTCTGGATGGAAATATGCAAGGAGATTGGGATAAAAAATATTGAAGAGGTAAAGAAAAGGTGGGATGCTCTTCGTAATAGGTATATAAAAGCGCGGAAGCGTACTCTGGAATACCAGCCTAGTGAATCAACGTCCTCTGGAAAAAAAACCCTCTCAACTGTTTCCTTTTTATAATAGCAAGCAATTTTTAAGCAATGTGGTAGATTCAGCTCCGTAAGTTATTTATGCTTGTCATGATAATGTTTTAAAATGTTCCCTTATCACTTTCATTCTTTGACTTCGTAGCATGGTTTCATCTGTAACAAATAGTGTTATCAATCAAACTAATAACACATCCATCAACAAACAAGAAACACTGGATGATCAACCAATACTGCCTGATTTTTATTTGAAGAAGCCTAGAAAAAGTATGTCAATATTTTATAAAGTTTGTGATAAAAAAATAACATAGTAATAAAGATGTGTACAATTGTTGCAGGTCCAGGTAAAAATAATAGTACGGACTTCGATAGTGAGATTTTTTCTTGTTTGAAGGAAAAAAAGCCTTTAGACCGCGTAGATGGATTTCTTGTACAAGTGGGTGAGATCCTGCGCGACATACCAGTAAAATCAAGACTATAAATACAGGTAGAAGTTTTATGTTTACTTAACAGAAAAAAAAATTTTCTTTAACTTTTTAAGAATGTTGGCTGATCCTTTCTGCATCTTAATCATAAAACACAATGTGCGAAATGGTAATAACGTGAGGGGGATGAAAAAAAAAAGTTTCCTTTAAATTTTTAAGAATTAAAAGTAATTTGAAAAATACAAGTAAGTTATTTTAACCAAAACCCGGATAATATGAATGTACCTGTGTAGAGATAAGTATATAATTTGAACCAAAAGTAATACTAGTATAAGGTTGCGATGACGTATAAGATATACCTAATTCATATTGCTTTAAATATGTACAAACGTACTTACCTTATTAGAAAGATAAGTTTTGGTTAATTAATATGTACATAAATAAAAAATATCTAATAGTAATTTATTATATTTTTACACATACTTCATTGTATGATCACACGTATTTACATTCCATGTACATGCCAATGTTTCAAAAATCGCAACCACTAGCTTTTTCCCATTGAAAAGATAATGCTCCCTCAGCCACAAAATAATCAGCAAAGTGATCTCTTATTTTTACAGCTGTATTACGATTCGATCTTGTCATATTTTCACTCTGCTCTTGAGCTCTTACATCAACACCAGCTAATTCATTAACGACTTCTTCTTCATAATACATTATTAAAAAATTTTGTAAACAAACGCAGGCTTTGATAATTTCTACAGTGGTAGGCAACGAAGTTTCCAGGCATTTTCTTAACAACCGACCGCCAAGTACTTGTCAACTCACCAAATGCACACTCTACTATCCTTCTTGCTCTTGATTGCCTACAATTAAAAATTTTTTTTTTTAAGTCCAAATTTAAGTTCCTCGGAAACGGTGTTAGCATAAAGTCACTCAATCCAAATGCTTCATCTGCTAAAAATACAAAGGGGAGCTTTGGACCATCGGGTACCACTGGCTCTGGGTGTGGAATGTTCAATTTTTTAGTCATTACTAATTTTCCAGTCGTGCTATTACTAAATACCCCACCATCACTTTAGCGATCAGCAGCCCCAATTTCTACAAAAATAAACTTTTTGTAAGCATCAATGTAGGCTTGAAGATGAATACTATGCCGTCCTTTGAAATCATAAAAATATGAGCAGCTGTTTGGTGGAGCCTGTAAAAAAATTATTTTATGTAATTTAGTTTGAATAACAGAAAAATTTTAGTACATAGATATTTATACATGTATACAGTTACCTCCATTGTAATTAATTAGCTGTCAACGCATCCTATGCAGTGAGGGAAATTCCAATCAGAGTCAAATCCTTTGGAAATTTTTCTCCAATCATTTTCACTGGGTTTTGATAAAAAAACAATAGGAAGCAGACAATTCTACAATTCTCTGCAAGTTTCTCCTATTATTTTTGACACTGATGATGAACTGAATCTGAATGATGATGACAACGAATTAATACAATCACCAGTAGCAAGGTATCGTAATGTGAATTGAAGACGAATTGTGACTGATATTGGGGTACGCACACAGATTATTTTTGTAATTTTTGGTCCAACTATGGACAATAAGTCATCAAATGCTTCTGTTGACATTCTGAAAAACTTCACAAACCCTTGTTTATCATGCATTCTTAAAGTTACAACAAGATTGTCACTTGCTCCTTGAGACACTCTGTTTGCTTCTTTAAAAACTTCAGAGACCCATATTCTTTTAGCCTTTATTCCTTCATTATTTAGTAATAAACGATAAATCATGTACAGCTTTTTAATTGTATTTTTTAATAATTAATTATTTACGCTAATGTGTTTCTTCTTTAGAAGAACAGGAATCAAACGTTTGAGGTTAGATGATGTGGTAGGCATTTTTTTGCACCTACTCCTTTACTAATTTGTAGCCAAAAATTATTGTATTATTAATTGTTTTAATACATGACAATAAGTGATATAGTATACAATTTAAACTATCTCATCAACCGAGCTTTGACTTAGAGTCTTAAGACTTTAAGACACCCATGTACAGGCACCCTTATGCTGACTATGCTAATGTTTCTAGACATTTTAAAATTACTGTTAGATATGTGCATGGTATGATAGATCTAATTTTGTGTTTATACTTCTTTTTATGATGATTACTATCATCCAATTATTAAAAATACTTTTGGAACAAAATCGATTGATTATAATGTAGGGCAACATCGTTTGTTGTTTGAAGAGATTAGTAGATTTGATTACATTTGTCATGACTAGATTTATCATCAAAATCAGGAACCGGGTAATAGATCAATAATATTAAAACGTATAATACAAGAATAGGGTGACATTTATACACACTTTCGTACGTTAAGTAGAATCTGTATCCCAGGGTAGAAAACAAAATAAGTCATTACCAGGCTAGCCCACGTACAAAAACCAACTTGAGTAAAACTAAAGATTCCTTTACAGCTCCTGAATCTCAAAGACTTGGCTTTACGCTCAAATAATACCCAATGCCAGTTAGAAAGAGAACGCAGGCACGTGCCCGACCCTACAGAGCAGATGAGAGAGGAAATCGGGGGACAAGAAAGAATAGTCATTCCAAATTCCAAGTATACGAAGGAAGTAAGGAAAAGTCGAGGGATACAAAAGGTGTCCATGGACATAGGGTGGACACGCATATATACGTAACCCAATGGCTATAGACTCTGTCTCCTGTACAGCTAAGGTGTGCATTGATGTGTACACGCTTCACGCGTTCAATCTTTAGATTACGCTTGTTCTCTATGTATTTCATCTCGTCCGCCTTTGCAGCGCGCCGGCTCTGTGCAACTCTCTGCTGTTATATATAGGTGCTCCGCAAGCTGCATGTACCACTGCCACTGCCTGCTACGCCAGCCACGCTTATGTAGGTACGCCGCTCTAGTCAGTCTCGTGCCGGCTCTCGCAAGGGACGCTTCGCTCGACCTCCACCCACGCGTTTTCTCTCTTGAGATCGATCTTCTTTTGTTTACCATATTGTTTTTTTTTTTTTTTTTTTCTTATGACAAATGTATTACGGTTGAACAGATCGTATGAAATAACAAAAAATATATATATAACGCTACTGCATACGTAATTAGATTTGCGATTGATTTAGGCGTCGTTCATTGTTATTCAAGTTTACATGGTTGGTTAATAAAACTTGGCAGTGCGACGAGTGCGGTATTATCGAAGCACTCAGCTGATTCTGTAGACTAAATTGGAACTCTGCTGGGGATCCCCTATTTTTCAGTCACAAGTAACAAACGCCGGTTCGCCGAATACATCTTCAAAACAAGCGTTCCTAATTGAATAACAGTCATCGCTGCATGCAATGAGCAGAAAGCTCGAGTGCGCGCGTAAATAATCGTCTTGCCAGTTCAAGTGTCAGTCGGTCAGTCGGTAGCGTGCGTCGGAAAAAAAAAAAAAAAAAGAAAAAAGAAAAACAAGCGAGCGTGACTAAACAAAAGCGCTCGAACCTACTATAGTAGGTGTACTGACGAGAGTGCCAACCGTAAACACTGGGAGCAGCGTGGGGAGTGAGATAATAGATGAGCGCTTGCGCGCGCGTCAGTCCGTGTTTAGGTGATCGCAGTGAAAATAAACCAAGCGAAAAATAATAAGGTTAAGGTCGCGTGCCAGGTCGTTTGAGTGTTATCGGAGGAGTGGTGTTATCTATTAGGTGTGCCAATGCAAGTGTACACGTATGATTTGCGGAAACGGCTCGAATGAGAGCGTAGCTGCTTGTAATAAGCGTGATTGTGAAAATTGAAGTGAGTGACGTCGGAGAAGAAAAGGAGGGACAACCCCGTGATTTCGGTTTTGCAGGAAAAGAGTTCTTTCGGAAGTGGAAAAACTGCTCCACATCTACCAACGCAACGAGCAACAAACGAAAAGCCGGTGAGCGTGTTTTTCATCCGTATTAAAACTTACCTACACGTGCATCATCGGCACGGAAGCGCACTTAACATGAGACCTACAATACACTCCCCTGAGAGACTTCCTCCTCCTCTCGCTGCTGTTTCTGCGAGGCGATTTTTCCATCCTCTTCTCTCCTTGTCTTCTTGTTTTTCCGGAGAAGGAGGAGGAGGCGCCGCACGCGCACGCCGGTCATACCGGTTTGCGCGATCTACACGAGGAGCGCGCGCGTGACTACTCCCCGAGCGGATGGTCATCATCTCGTGTCTCCGTCCCACGTAGGTAAAGTGTGTAAGACCGCGTCGATGGTTTATCCTTTCATCCATCTTAGGTGAAGCGTAGGAGGAGGATGTGCCGGCATGATGGTTGTGTTTTCAATTACCGGGCGGCACAGCAGAGAGATCGCGTTACTCGCGGAACCGGTGAACTACAGTAGCCGCCTTTTGCTCTTGATTGATGCTGCGGTATACTTTTGACGAGTGTTTTGGAATGATCGGTCTTTTGGATGTTGTTTTTAATTGCTCCCTTTCTCTCAAGTGGTACTCGTCGTTCGATTGGAACTGGGAAGAAGTAGTACAGCGCATGTGTTTTGGCTTGATTTCTGTTTGAAAATTATAAGATCAAAGTGATTGACTACTTATGAAGGGGAGTGCAAGAGAGAGTCTGACTTTATAGCCTTTTTAGGTGAAAAATGCGTGCGCATGTCCCGTAATTTAAAATTGAGTTGTATTTACACTGCAGATTATTCATTAATAACTATTTTTACATGAACGACGAGCTTAATCGACGTGATTGTTTTACATAATTATTAGACAGATATTAAGCTGTTGACTACAGTTTTGACCAAATTTGACTGTTACTTGTATTGAAATTTGGTTTACTATAAAAGTCGTTTTTGACGATCTCTCATATTAAGAACGTATGTAAAATTTACAAAATTTGTTTTATCAATTTCTCACTTCGTAAGCACCCAGAGTTGTTGAAGTTTTGCACCAATTTTAGTTAAAAACTGACTGCCAATTGCTTAAGGTAGTCAACCTCCTTAATACAATCAGATGTGAGGATGGATTTATTTGTTTCGCAATAAAAAAATCTTAAAATCGTATACATCCTGCAAACATGAATTCATCCTCGGTATTGATTGTCGATAAATATCGCGTGTAAACGAATATTGCCGAGCAAACAAGAAGATAAATAATGCAAGATAGTATAAATAGAAAAAATTTGTAACCTAATCAATTGGTTATTTGAATAAATTTGTATCTATAAATATTAACAGAGGGAGTTCGTGTAATTTTAAGCCGCGCCAGAAAGCAGGTACCTTAGCAGCCGATAAGCTCCGAGCTGTTGGTCAGTTTCAGAGATAAGACCGGAACGGGCGTGAAAACTTTCTCGTGTGTGTCAATAATGCACGAGCCGTGGAGAAACGTGGTACTGTATGCCCACGCGAATGGAGTCGGGTATCTCCTCTGAATAATATAATACTGAAAGCTAAAATTATTCACGTTTCCGGGAACCCGATATTTTATGACCACAGAGTAAAATCCATGAATGAAGATTGAGGCTCGATATTCGATTACAGTACGGCGAAGATATATATAGTATTTTTGAAGTAGGCGTGAGGTGTAGGTTGATGATGGGAATGAGATTATTAAAGCAGAGATTAAAGCGAGTTTCACGACTCTGAAAAATCGTCTGACAAATAATGTTGCGTTTGAGTTTTTTTTTCTTCCTCCACTGTGCCGTAACTTTGTAATTATAATTAGCAACGCCCAATTATGAAGAGTCACTGAAAATTTTCGAATGGATCTTTAAATTTAGGGTGGAACTGCTTAAGGCGCGATAGTGTACCATCGATCAAGTTAATGAGTTCAAGCAGAGACAGCAGGGAGTCAAGCTTTAATAAAGAAACAATGTGAGCTGAGCAGAAATAAAAGGAAATTCTGAAAAAACTTTATGGATCGGTAGATTTGATATATACGCGAGAAAAACAACGGTTATGGGTGGCATAAAAAGTCCACGTTGTACGGGTATATATATGGAGTAGGGCTCGTATAGGTAAGGGAACGGTATCGATAAAGAGCCCAGATAGGCACCTATATGGGAGAGAAGCAAAGCTCGTGGGTAAACAAGGAGAGTAAAAGAGGCACGACGATGACGATAAATTTAGCTGCTGGCGAAAAAATATGACCCTGCCTGCTCTCGCGTCGTGATGTTTGTAGAATGTGTGTATATATATATATATACATCCTCATGTATTGACATATGAGAGGAAAGAAATTTTTTTACCTCCGTGTATGCTTAATGCGTGTTCGGTGTTTTGCTTGTTTTTTTTTTTTTTTTTTTTTTTTTTTAACAGTTATTTTTACGCGGAAACAGTAGCGATTTAGTTTATCCAATACGTAATACTACGCTAGTTGCGAATGATGAAAATCTTTAAATTAAACTTACACTAGTAACTCGCGTGTGATTAATTTTTACCTCTGCTTTTTAACTGTTTTTTTGAAGACAGGAGAGAACTTTATGTTGTATTCAAGTATTTTCAAAAGATCAGATGTAATGGATAGAAGAGTAAGGAAATCAAATAAAAAAATTTTTTTTCAAAACGTGAAAAATGATGGAAAAAGTTTCGAGAGCTCAAGAGTCAAAAAGAGTACTTAGTGCAGTAAAAAGTGTTGTGTTGTGCATTAATATAAGAAATAGACCTCGAGAAATTGATCAGCACAAAATTTTTTTGAAATCAATTCACTTAATGTGCTTTTTTAGTTTTAATACATATTTAATAAACGTATAACTGCAAATAATCTTTTAATTTTTGACATTCATTGACAAGTCAAGCAAATAGGTCATTTCTTTTCGATTTTGTGGGTAGAAACTGGTTACATTTGGTCCTCGATTTGGTCTACACGTACAGATCTTGGTCAATTATTGATTTATCAATATACATCATTGAGTCGTTTGAATATTCAAAATAAAATAATGAATCGCAATTGTGTTCTGTTTTTTAAACTTATTTTTAACAAATTTTTTTCCAAATTATCTATTAAAATATGTATTTGCACAATAGAGACTAGCCAGCCAATATACTAATTTACAAATAAATTTAAAAACAACATTGTAAAATAAAAATTTTGTTAATTCTCAATATCATCAAGAAACTTTTAATATTTTTAGAATTAGATTATCTCTATTGTTGGTACTGCTGCATTCTAAATTCAATGATGGGTCTAAAAATAAGAAAAGTTCATTTAATAAGATGAAAATGTTGTAGTTAACAATAATTGCTACGTTATTTATTTCTGTAACAAGTTCAAAGCTGTTTTTTGAATGGTACTAAGAAGCAAAAATAATGTTCTTAAAGGATTGTAAGAAAATTAAAGCCAGACCGTGAGTAGGACTATTTGAATAATGAAAGCAATACGTCAAAAAAATAAAGAAAGTTAATTCAAAAGTTTGCTGGTATCTGATTCATGTTAGTATTATGGATATCTCATTCTTTTTTCCTTATGAAGGAAGTTTTGTATCATAAAAAAAACTCTTCAAAACTTCTTAGAAATATTTTTATGGTGTTAGGAATGAAAATATGTCAATGAAGCTTTATTTGTTACTTTGAGTCTTCCTGTTACGTTATTTTGTTTCCTTTTTGTTAGAAAAATACTAACATTTTCTTGAGGTTTTTTTTACTCTCGTAGAAACTCAAATAATTAAAGTCTCATACGTTATTAGTGTTGTTACAACGACTTTTGATGACTGAGAACCGTTTTTATGATATTTTTTTTGGATTGAAGAATTCCAAATTACGTTCTTTAATTATTTAATCATTTGCGTTTGTTTGAATTTCAGATTTAAAAAACTCATAACAAACAATTTTGACCTTATGTAAAGATAGTTAGAGAAATACAACAAAAACATAAATTAAAAGAAAACGAAATTAAATGAACATTTCTTAAAAAATTTTTGTACTTATTCATTAACAGTGACGTTCCTTAGAACATCTTAGTTTTTGCTAGTGCGTACGAATTATCATCAATGGCATAGTTTTAGTTTCTTGATTCGAAAAAGGCGTCGTTACCTTTTTTTTTTTTGGAAATGTAGAACATGTTTTTAATGTTTATAAAATTCTAATAAATTGGAATCGTTACCCTCAGCTTAAGTAAAAAAATATTCATGACATTTCCTCGACGTTCGATTTTTTGTCCATTGCGAAGATTTCTCTACCAGAAAGCGAAGTTAATGAAGAGAAGATGAACTGGATGGTCACTTGAATTATCAAATTAAAATAAGATGGAGGCACATAACAGATGAAGGATCGAATGAATAACATATCATCGACTTGGCTAGCGAGACGTTCTATGATATTACACCGTCACGGGAAAATTAACGCCTGTCAAATTAAAATAAAAAATGTAAATAGACACAAAGTCGGAAAATTAATGTGCCCTGACCAATTAAATGTTTGAAAAATTCTTTCATCGACCCCTCTGTGGCGTAAAACCAGTTTAGAACGAACGAAGCAATTTTCGAGAAATGAGAAACAGAGCAGTAATAGATGGCTTGATCGAAGATGGGAAACGATAAATGGTATTCAACTAAATAATTCATAACCACTGGCAATTAACATCTTTAAATCAACGATTAATTCAATAATTCACATACTCCCATGACACCATTAATTTATGACAAACCCAATTTTGCTGGTAGATGGTTTGACAACATTGGATGAACACTACGTGGCTGATGCAGCATACACGCCGACAAAAAATTATGGACATCAATTATTTCCATCGTCTATTCACGCATGTATATGTGCATATCAGAGTTTTTACAAAAAACTATTCGTTGAAATTTAAAATTCTTTTCGTTCTTTCTACATATTTATTCAGACTCACTTAACTTCTTCTAAAATGTAATCCAATAAACAAGGACATCATATCGTCATCCAAAATATTTTATTAATAGGTTTGGTAACTGTGCTTTATGTG